TTTTNTTTTTTTTTTTTTTAAATTCGCATTTTCGAGAAGCTTCAGCGAAAGCTTTCCTTTCTCTTATGATAAGGAAAAAAGCGTATCGATCGTTTGGACAGTTGTTCAAATACGAGACAAGATTTCTATTTATCCATATTTTACATCCGATCTCTTTAATGCGATGCGTCAGTTGAAAAGTGGCATTCACTCGGACTAGGACTAGTACTAGTAACTGTTAATCGTTCACGTCTCGTTAGCACGTTAAAGTTTCGTTTTTCAAACAAACACGATGGACGACGTCGTATCATCAATTCGATCAAAACAACATTTTTTCGAAAGAAAAGAAAAGAAAAAAAAAAAGAGAGAGAAATAAAAAGCACGGAGGGGGGGGGGGAAGATACAACATCCAACAATTTTTACACACGGACGAAATCAGGCTAGGGATTAATTTGTACACGAGAGAGAAAGAAAGAGAAACAGAGAGAGAGAGATAGAGAAAGAGATAGTTAGAAAGATAGAGGAAGAGAGAGAGAGAGATATATATATATAGAGAGAGAAATTCGTTGTCACCTCGTTACCACAGTTACCACGAAGGTCTCTGCCTGTGACGAGACAACGAGTATATTTTCTTTTTAACGATCTTGCAGAATATTGAGAAACGTGTCGTGAAAAATCTCTGTGCCTGTTATATGTATCCCTTTTGTTTTAATTTTTTTTTTTTTCTTTTTTTCGTCTTAAAGTACTTCGAGAACGAGTATATACGAGACAGAACGAACTAGCTACTGTACAATAACCATAGGAATAAGTAAGAAGTGTATACGACCAATAGACAGGTAATGGAGATCTTTGTGATCTTTCGTGATTCCTGATACTGTCGATTGCACACAAATATATTTCTTTCGATTTCTTTTTTTTTTTTTTTAGATCTACGTTCTTACGTTATTACATGATTAACTAAAAAAAAAAAAAAAGAAAAAAATAACAACGATAGAAACTTGTTAGTAAATATCTAATATATCTAACTTCATCAGAAAGAAGGGAAAACTTCAAGAATCAAGAGAGATCACGTGTCACCAATTACGCTCTGACCATAAAAAGTCGATCATGGTGTAAAGTAGTAATAGTATTTGTATAGTAGTTGCAGTAGTAGTAGTAGTAGTAGTAGTAGCAGTAGTAGTAGTAGTAGTAGTAGCAGTAACGGTAGCAGTAGTAAGTATAGTAGAGTATCTTTCTTTTTTTTTCTTTTTTCTTTTTTTTTTCTTTTTTATCTTTTTTGGTCAAGATTCGGTTTATGTTTGTTGATGTGTTACCTTTCGTTAACTAGCTTGTCAGTGAAGGGGTTTCGTGGATGTCGCTTCATAATATCGCTCTCTGCCTCCTCGTAGGCAAGTGAGATGGCTGGCACCTGACGTCACATTATCAATCAAGGCTCAAGTAACAACGCCAACAGTTAGAACATGATGATGAGTATCGTTTTCTCGCTGACCCGCGATACAAGGATGCTGATTAATTTCCAATTTCCATTTCGGGCTGAAGAAATGGTGAATCGATGAGAGAAGAAGCGGAAAAATTGCAAAGGAAGAATTTCTATTCTTCTTCTGGTGAAAGAAAGGTCTGTTCGTTGAAATTGAATCAGCATTCTTGCGACCAGTGAGTATAATATGATGAGAAACGCAGAAAAGGTAAGCAAAAAATCAAAACTGAGAGAACTAAATCGATCGGAGCAACGAGGCGGGATGGTGTCGAGGGATGAAGGGATTCGTGTGGATCTTTCGTGTCGATCATCGTTTCGACGATCCTTCCAAATTCCGTCCAATTCTCTTCTTCAAACAATTGACATATAACCGCGTAAAATCGTGAAATCGAAGCTGGAAGAAATGTAATTACATCTGAAATCACGAGTATTCTCATTCTAATTCGAGATCCGGAACAATCGCTATAAAAAATAAATATATATTCTTCTTAAACGAAAAAAACAACTTTTTCAAGATAATAAGAAACGAAAGGAAACGTAGAAAAAGGAAAAAACGGATCTCGATCAGGAGGAGGATCCTCGCGTTGATAGAAGATTAAATGTAAAAAATTATCTCCTTTAATTCTTCCCATAATCTGTTCCCACGCAAAGGACGCATCACCACCTAATGGCCACCTAAATAAAGGTTAATTAAAAAAGAGTTACAACAAATTCGTGATGAGACTAGCTTTTCCAATCGTGCCTCCTACAGGTCTGAGGATCTGGCGTACTGCGATTACCCAGGGGAGCTCTATCTAAACAACAATTGTGCTTCGAAAAGCTATATCTTTTCCTCGAAGGGAAAGAGAAACCTTTCGTTGACGAGGTTGTCACGGTACGGATCACGAGGCCTTCTCTTCATTATATCCGACTCGGCATGCTCGTACGCCAACGAAATAGCCGGCACCTGCCAATCATGGTGTTTTAAACGGTACAATAATCGAACATCCAGCCCCGAACGAACATCGCTGAAAATCTTGGAAATCTTATCCTCGTTCGAGATGTCTCGAATCGGCTTGAAAAAAAAACAAGAAAAAAAAAAAAAAATAACCGATTGAAACGCTCGAAAAACTGTGGTTGGAGGAGCGTGTGTTCGAGGATGAATTCGATTTCGCGAGACGATTCGAAGAAATTTGGGGTCGCGTCTCGGCCGTGGCCGGGGGATGGAGGCGCGATCGAGACGCGATTTGAAAAAAGGCGGAGGAAGATGTCCATGAACCACTCACCATGTCTGTTCCCAGATCGATGCAGAGGATGGTGACGGTGCCGAGGGGCAGGGGGATGTCGCAAAGGATGAACGCCAGGAAGGGTGAGATCTCGGGGATGTTCGAGGTGAGGGTGTACGCGATGGATTTCTTCAAGTTGTCGAAGATCAACCGGCCCTCCTCGACACCGGTCACGATCGAGGCGAAGTTGTCGTCGAGCAGGATCATGTCGGCCGCCTGCTTGGACACGTCCGAGCCAGCTATACCCATTGCCACCCCGATGTCTGCCTTCTTCAACGCGGGGGAGTCGTTCACACCGTCGCCTGGAAACAAACGAAACCGAACAACCAATGTAATCGCGCTTTCGAATACTTTTGCACCAGTTCGAACCAGTTCGAACCAGTTAGAAAGAGTTAGGAACCAGTTCGAACCAGTTACGAACCAATTACGAAAAATACGTAACACGAGGATTGATAAATTGGAATTGAAGCAAATTGTAAGAAGTGGAAAGGAGCGAGATTCTCGTTCAACGAGCGGAGAATAAGGCGAGACGATTAAACGTACCGGTCACAGCGACGATAGCACCCATTCGCTGGCAGCCTTCGACGATGATGAGCTTCTGCTGAGGCGAGGTACGGGCGAACACAATTTCGGTGTGGTACCTGAGGATCTCGTCCAGTTGGTCGGAGTTCAGTTCCCTGAGTTCGGTTCCGTGGATGACGGCGGCTTTGGCCTCGCGAGGATTGACTTCGGATACGGGGATATTCAACCGTTGAGCAATGTCCTCGACGGTCTCGTTACCTGATCGCAAACATCGTCAATTTTCAATCCAATCTCCTTCTTGGAAGCAAAAAAAAAATCTCGATCTACCTAACCAAATCTAAATCTTTTCATCCCCCTGATAGGGGGATAAGTCAGGCAAAATACGGACAAGCTACTATTACTACTACATGATTGAGATCGGGACAGGAACAGACCTTCAGAGATGATGCCGACAGATTTGGCAATGGCTTTGGCAGTGATCGGATGGTCACCGGTTACCATGATGACCTTGATGCCGGCTGAACGGCACTTGGCGACCGCGTCGGGCACCGCAGCCCTGGGCGGGTCGATCATAGACATGAGGCCCACAAAGCGGAGTCCGTCCACCGGGAAGTTCGGGTCGTCGCAGTTGAACTTGAAGCCGATCGGGAATTTGTCGGACGGCAGTATGTAGTCGCAGAAACCGAGCACGCGTTCACCGAGGCCGCCAAGCTCGAGGTAAGCGTTGTTGAACGCCTCCTTCATCTCCTCGTCGAGCACCTTCTCCTTGCCACCGATGAATATCGTGGAGCAACGATCGAGAATCCTCTCCGGGGCGCCCTTCATCACGAGCAGGTGCCTCGGGTCGTCCGGATTGTCCGACTCGTGGATAGAGACCTGGTACTTGTTGGTCGAGTTGAACGGGATCTCGCACACTTTCTTGTTACGCTTCCTTATCCCCATCACGTCGCCCAGGGCCAGCTCCATGCACTTCAACAGTGCGGCCTCGGACGCGTCCCCGTTCACCTCCCTCTTCAGGATAGGCTTGTCCTCCTGGCCCGCCTTGAACTCGGCACGGTTGCACAGCGTCGCGATCTTTGCCAACGCCTTGAAGCCGGGGCTCGTGCGGTCGTATTGCAATCCCGATTGATCCTCGGTCGTGTCCGCCTCGATGATCTGATTGTCGAACCACATGTGGGCAACGGTCATACGATTCTGGGTGAGGGTGCCCGTCTTGTCCGAGCAGATGGTCGACGTGGAGCCCAACGTCTCCACGGCCTCGAGATTCTTCACCAGGCAATTCTTGGACGCCATCCGTTTGGCGGTCAACGTGAGGCAGACGGTGACGGTCGCGAGCAAACCCTCCGGCACGTTGGCGACGATGATCCCGATCAGGAAGATGACTGCGTCGAGCCAGTGGTAACCGAGGATGAAGGCTATGATGAAGAAGGTAACACCGAGGAATACGGCAACCCCCGTGATCAGGTGTATGAAATGATGAATCTCCTTAGCGATCGGCGTTTCACCAGTATCAAGGCCGGATGCTAGACCAGCAATCCTTCCCATCACTGTCTGATCGCCACAGCAGATCACCACTCCTTTCGCGGTTCCCTCGACGGCGTTCGTCGAGAAGAAGGCGAGATTCTTCGTCTCCAACGGGTTCTCGTTCGTGAACTCCGGCGATCTCGATTGGGGCTCCGACTCGCCCGTCAACGAGCTGTTGTCCACCTTGAATCCCCTCGACTCGATGATCCGGATGTCGGCCGGTATACGATCCCCGAACTTTACCTCGACCACGTCGCCGAGCACCAAGTCCTCGGCCTTCAACGTCAGTTTCTCGCCTTCCCTGATTACGATCGCGATTTGGGGTACCATGTTCTTGAACGATTCCATTATCTTGCTCGACTTGCTCTCCTGGTAATACGAGAATATACCCGTCACTATTACGACCGCCGCCAACACGATGCCCAGGTACAGATTGTCGTCGTTCGGGTCCTCGCTCGTCGACGCTTGGATCGAGTACGCGATGAAGCAGAGGATCGCCCCGATCCACAACAGCAACGCGAAACCGCCGAACAGATTTTTACAGAATTTCACCCATTCCGGTGTTTGTTTCGGCGGTGTAAGCGAGTTTGGACCGTCCCTCTCCAGATTCTCTTTTGCCTTCGCGTGGCTGAGGCCCTAAAACATTATCGACCATTAAAATTATTATCGTCTCTCTCGCGAAAAATTTTCACCATCGATCCTGATATTCGGATCGAGAACAACAGGAGGAGGAGGAGGAGGAGGAGGAATGAAAACGCGTCCCACGATTATCGGCTTCGCTAAATAAGGGACGTACATCAGGAATTTCGTGTCAGCGATGATACTCGAGAGAGCTTTAAATAACTCGATCGATCGTGGGACAAAGAGAGAAGGAATGAAAGAGAGAGAGAGAGAGAGATTTGTTCGGCTCGACGGTGATCAATTATTGTTCTAAAAATGGGGGATTTTTTATATATATTCTTTCTCTTTCTCTTGTATTATTTGGAAAGGAAATGGATGGAAATCGTTAGTCCTCCTGCTCCTCTTTTCTCTTCGTCAAACCCGACTTACGTTTTCGGGGTGCGTCTGAAACCTTTGATACAGTTCCTCGGGTGTAATTTTGTGGAAGTCAATGTCCAACTCCTGTTTCAGGTCCTCTAAATTGTCCGTCCTCCGCTTTGGATTCTTCCGCCGCGACTGTTTCGTAAAAAATAAGAAGAATGTTATTAGAAATCGAAATCGAGAGATTTTGATGTATCGAAGAATTTATGGAATATATGGAATATATGAAGGAATTAATCGTCGACAGCGATTAAAAAAAGCGAAAAATTCAAGAATTTTCAAGTATCCACATCCTCCTTCGAGAATGTTATGATAAAAAAAAAAAAAAAATAATTCAACATTTTTTCCCCAACATTTCAATCATCTATAATTATATTATCGTATTAAAGGAAAAGTTTTATTATTAAATGTAATATACAAGGGTCAAGAACGTGATGTTAGATCAACGTTACTCCATAAAAATTACCTTCCACCCTGATACCACATTTTACGTAATTAAAAGACCTCGGAGACCTCGATTAATCGCAAGAATATTAATCACGTGGAATTGTCGAGAGACTTGATTAATCAATCACCTTTAAATATACCAATTTTGAATACATCCAAAAGCGGTCGAAATCCCAAACGTAATAACGAAATAATACACACAATACTTTGTAAAACGTGTCAGTAATTAGTGTCATTACGAGTGTGACCAATACTTCGTATTAGTCATATATATTGTGCGAAAGAAATAGTACACGTGTTAGTACCGACCACCAAAAAGAAAGAAAGAAAGAAAGAAAGAAAAATATAATATAAAAATGTGACAAAGATAGTAGAAAGAATATATCGTAAAAATGAAGAAAGACTTATCCTGAAGAAACAGAATATATCGTGATATCACAGTAATAATATAATACTTTCGCAGTTGGTAATTATGGAAAGAAGAAAGAATTGAGAAAGATCTTCGAAAAAAATTTATTATTCGAACGAGATATTTTATCATACGAAAAAATATGCATAGATCGTAACATGACACGATATGATAGTTCGTGAAACGTGTTAGTAATTCAACGTCACACCGAATACGAGTACTACGCGTTGTGCAGAAGAATAACACCGATCACTGAAAAATAGAACGTTCCTCTTGGTCGAAAGGAAGAAGATTGACAAAAGTGTCAATGGTTAAAAAAAAAAGAGCACGTAAAGTGGTATTTTTAGAGGGAATTCCGAATGGAGGGATATTATCTAGGGGGAATCTGCCTTGATTGTTAGAGCGAAATGAGCGAAAAGTGGTTAGTCGAGAGAGAGAGAGAGAGAGAGAGAGAGAGAGAAGGTGATTCTCCGCGGTAGGAAGAGAATGATTGCAGAAGAGA